AAGCTTCTGATTCTTCCTTCATGAGATACTGAATCAACATGAATTAAAAATTCTTCACTCCCAAAGGCTGGGATTGTGGCTCAATGTGGCTTGTAGAGTGCTTGCCTAGCACATGTGAGGCACTGGGTTCAATCCTCAGCACCACATACAAATAAATAAACAAAAGTATTGTGTCCAACTACAAAAAAAAAAAAAAAACACTTTAAAAATTCTTCACTCCCAGAACCCAGAGTTATCCTGGCTTAGTGGTTAAGAACATGGCTGCCCATGCCAGCCAGGCAGGAGTTTAGGGGCCAGCTGGCCCACCTACTGGCCATATGACCCAGGAAGGCACCCAGTCTCTCTGCGGTGTTGATTTCTTCTTCAGTGACCCCTGAGTTGTGAGGGTTAAATGAAACAATGCTAGAAAAAGGCAGGTCCCAAGCATGCAATTCACTGATAGGCTCACCTGCACATTCTCTTCGGTCACCTCAATTTCTGCAGTATAGATGTAATCAATCAGCTTCCTAAGCGTATGCCCATCCACATCCTTGATTTCAATCTTCTTGGCTTTACTCTCAGACATGTCACCTGCAGTTCACAACAAGAACAAAAAGGACACAAATCTGGCACCTATGGTATAGTTAACTTCTAAAAGGCCTCCTGCCTTGTCATGGAAATAGGAAAACAGGGCCTGAGCTCTATGAAGCAGAAGGAACTGAGGCAGAGATTATAAGCCACTGATAGGAAGGCCACATAGCCTAGAGTCTCTGACCACCCACAAACCCCATCTTAACCATCCCCTACTTTTAGTGTGAAGGCAAATCAATGTGCAGTAGCTCATTCAACCAATGTTCACTGCAAACTTGTACACATAGGGCCATGAACAAAACCTGCACCTGTGCTCCAAGAGCACAGGTTCTAGTAAGAGACACATAAAAAGATTTATAAAAGAATAAGAACTTGGGGCTGAGGTGGTGGCTCAGTGGTAGAGTGCTTGCTTAGCACATGTGAGGCCCTAGGCTCAATCCTCAGCACCACATAAAAATAAATAAATAAATAAAGGTATTGTGTCCTACAATTAAATTAAAAAAAAAAAGAATAAGAACTCAGCAAAGGTAAGTACAAAGTACCAAAATGACAAGAAAAAAATAACACTTGTTGAGTGCTAATGAAACCCCACTTTAAATTGTTGCCTCCTTCAATCCACATAACCACCTATTGGGCTTATTAATATTATCCCCATTTTACAAGAAAAGAAAATGAGACACAGAAGGGAAGGTAGTTCATCTTGCCCTTGGTCACACATGTAGGAAGGAACCAGGATGGGGTGAACGCCAGGGAGTCTGATTTAAGAGCCCACATTTATAACCACTATGCTAAATCCCAGGAATATGGAGAAAGTGCAACAAACCCCACCTGGGAACTCCAGAGAGGCAGTAGAGGATCACAATTGAGCTGGGCATTAGAGGATGAGCAGGATATGGGCCCCATATGTATACAGGGAAGAAAATACCAGAAGGATATATCTGGGGAATGGTGAGAGGCTGCTGTGGCTGCACACGGGTCATGGTTCGAAGAAGGAAGCTCAAGAGGTGGTTGAGGGCAGGACTTGCAGAACCCTACAGGTTGTGCAAATGAACTTGGACTTCATCCAGAGGCCAGCACCACTGAGAGGTTTTAAACAGGGGAATGACATCAACAGATGGCTATTTCTGAATGAAATTTTGGAAGCAGGGAGGAAGCTGGATCGACCCAGGGAGAACAGTTGGGAGCCCTGATAAGAAAACAAGAAATAAAGAATACAGGGCTATGAACGAGGGTTGTAGCAGCAGCAGCACATTCCTGCCTGCACTATAAAGACAGCACTTAGGTTTCCCTAGTGCCAGTTTCCTCCAGCAAGTGCTGATTTCAGAAGGAAACAGAGAGCACATGAAATAAAGGACAACCTGACTGCAAAAAACAAATCATTCAGAAGCCCTAACGTGAGTGGTAAAACAGCCTGGGCAGTTGTTTTCAATCAATGTTTACTGTGGAATTCAAGGAACTGAAGCCAAGAAAATAAAGTACAGTACAGCATGTGGGTTGCAGACACCCACCTCCAAGCTGCTTGGACTGCACACGATTCCTCTGACACAGTTCTAGATCTGAGTGACTGTGGAACAGGGAGGCAAGTGGACAGCAAGAGTGATTTCCAAATCCTGCCCACTGGCTTCACTGCCAGACCAGGAGGACCAGAGACCCTCTCTCTACTTTGTTCTCTCGTCTCTAACTGCTATGGAGACCAGTGAAAAAGGTCCCAGCACAATGAGCCCTGGTGCAGGATGAAGGGGAAACAGGAAAAGATGGTAGATTCCTCCTACACCCATAAGCTAGGTTCGCAATCTCTCAAATTTATGCTGAGACACACAAACAAAAACAAGCATAGACAAAGAAATCAGTGGTTAAATTCTCACTCTCTCTCTCTCTCAACAGCTAATAAGAAGTTCATTAAAGGGCTGGGGTTGTGGCTCAGTGATAGAGCACTCACCTAGCATGTGTGAGGCCCTGGGTTTAATCCTCAGCACCACATAAAAATAAATAGATAAAGGTATTGTGTCCATCTACAACTTAAAAAAAAGTAGTTCATTAAAGAGGGTCCAATTGGTAAATATACTGCAAAAGATAATCAAATAGAGCTAATTCTTGGTTTAAGATCTTAGACTTACAAAATGATACTGAAAAAAGCAGCAGGCTGACTATAAGAACCAAGAGGCTGAGAAGCCCTCCTATAAGAGTGCAACTGGAACCTGGGCTGATTAGTTTTCTGGGGTGGACTTTGTGCTTGGGGGTCAGGTGAGGGGTTTATAACTTTGAGGTAAACAAAGGGAAACTCCTGAAATTGTATAAAATATTTGTATACATACAAAAAAGTATTTTGTTTTTTTCTAAAAGGAAGATGGATCATTTAAAAAAAATTTTTTTAGTTGTACATGGTCTCAATGCCTTTATTTGTTTTTATGTGGTGTTAGGATCAAACCCAGCGCCTCACACTTGCAAGGCAAGTGCTCTACCTCTGAGTTACAACTCCAGCCCAAGACAGATCATTTTTACCAGACTCTTAACAGGTTTTCATACTCCACAAAAGATTAGTACACTGTTTTCTGAACAGTGGGACTTACCTGGACTTTTTCTTGCTTCTTTGCATAACTCTGAAATTTTTCATTTTCTACATTAAGCACCTAAAATTTTAATAAGCTGCCAAAAAAAATGACACCATAAAAGAAAAACTAGGGGTTTGAATGATAGTTATCTTCTAAGAAAGCTCTCTTAGAGTAGAGACTAGTATAGGTCACACAGACTTATAGAATCCAATCTTATTGCTTCTTGTGAATCAGCAAAAACAATTACATCAAATTAAGATTTCAATTTAAACAGGCCCTAAAAATGGGAATAGTTATAGTCACTACTGTGTATCATCCCCTCTACCAAGGGTTCATGCACATTATTTCATTGAATTCTCCCAACAAACCCTGAAAGTGGATGATAATTGCTGCCACTTGACAAATTATAGAACTGGCACTTTAAGATGTATTTACATGTAGACAGTAGGGAGCAGGGCTGGGTTTGGAAGCTGGGCCTAACTCTGTATCCTGAGTCATTTCTAATAAACCCCTCTATAATTTAAATATGACCCTAACCATGACCTTAATAAACATATTCCCAAATTCAAAGCATCATTCCAAATTCTGGAGACAAGATAGCACTTAATATATTTCAAGCAAGAACCTAATGGGCCAGGACCTTGCTAGGCTTATTAGTAAAGATATCCTCAACATGTAATAAAGTGTTTGGCATAAAATAAGCACTTCAAAAATTATTGTTGGAGTCAGAGGAAAAAAAAGGAAGAAGGGAGGTTTTCTCTTGACATCTCAAGTCCATGGGCTTCAATACCTCCTGAGGGGTAGAAACCATCAAGGGCTTGATCATTTTTGCTTCTTCACCCACATCTAACAGTTTGACAAAATATTTCTAGAAAAGAGAACATGCATTCCATAAGTTTTTTCCATCTCTAACATTAATACAAGAGCCCTGCACTGCTAGTTCTTCACAAGGGGCCCTAGCAGCTATCTCAGGATCTGAACTTTCAAAGATGTACATCAGCTGCATATCCTTTTGGCACTTGCCATCTTCCACTTGTTGTATGTAAATATACATGTTCTCTAAATCATTTTCTCCAAACAGAACAAGATCCACTCAGGGTAAGACTGGTTCATTCATTCAGCAAGCATATATCAAATGTGCCTCCGTGAGCTAAGCACTATGCTAGGCCCAGAGGACACAAAGATGACCAAGTCCTCACCCTGCCCTCATGAACCTGTCTAGCAGAGAAGAGACAAGTACTCAACAACTACAAAGAGTGTCAAATGCAAGAATAGGAGATTTTGCTTCAAAAGTTCTTCAATAAGGGATTCCTGCATCCTAAAGCTGTGTGCAAAGTGATAAGCACATGGGAGCACATGCCTGCTTTTCTAGGGAGAATCCATTGTTCTCATTGGATTGATTCACACTAGTTAAGAACAACTGCTCTGGAGGAGTGACAATTATTCAGGAGAGAAGTGAGAATGAAGGAAAAGCACTCCTAAGAGAATAGTATATGGAAAGGTCTGGAAATAAGAAAGATCAAGGCCTGCTGGGAGCCATAATAAGTTCAGTCTAGCTGGAGCACAGCTTGCAAAAGGAGGGAGAGTGAAACAAAGCTGGAGACAGAGGCAGGGTCTGGACCAATTGAGGGTCTTGCAGCCCATGCTAAGGAGTTCAGACTTCATCTCAAAGGTAACTAGAAGCCCCTGACAGGTTTTAGGAGGCGAGGGATACATCAGATTGCTATTTGGGGGAGACTACTATAGCTACAATGTGGAAAATGAGTTGGGATGGACAAACAGAAGTGGAAGCAGGTTAAACAATTGGAAGACTGCAGCAGAATATCAAGTAGAAGATGCTATGGCCAGGTCTAAGGGACAGTGTCTTAAACTTCTTTAAATTCTTAGACCCTACCTTAGGGTCCTCCAAGAACCAAAGAGATCCCAGGAGAGCAAATAATTCCATACCTATCAAGATGAATGCTACAGTCACGTATAACTAAAAAGAACCAATTAAAAAAAATTCCACACCTCTATCAGGTACAAGTGTTCAAGTCTTAAGTCCTAGATCCTAGCAAGCATAACATGTGTACAACTGAGATCTTTACAAGTGAAAAATTGCCAAAGAAGAGCAAGAAGGAGGAGGCTCAAATTGAGGAGTAAAAGGAAAAAATATTTTACCATCACAAAAAATTCAAGAAATCTGAAGAAAAAAAATCACTGACTCATCATCTAGGTCACTGGTATAAACTCAATGCTTTTATTAAATAAATGAAGCCCTGAGAATGGGAAAGCAATGGTAGATTGGCTGGCAGGTCTCTCTGAAGAACCAAAGCTAAGCCACCAGGCCCCTACAAAACTGGATGTCCTCAAAGAGAAGAAAAAGGCGCACTCAAGAGTTCTTACATTATGGAATTCTTCCTCATTCCCAATTTGGCTCCTCTGTGCTACAATTTATAATCTTGTATG